TGTTGCTTATATTAGTCATTATGTCTTGCTGCCCCTTTACAAAACCATCAATTGCTTTGGACATTCCACGCTACTTTCTACATCAGTGATGTTCATCGGTCAAAAAGCTATGGAGCTGTCTCAGAGAGCCACTTCGACGGCCACTTCCCAACGCACTGGGCTGTTGGTGTCGGAAGAGGCTTCATAGACCTGCACAACTGGCCGGCTTAGACCCGTGGGACCTCACGCATTGAGGTGAGGTCCGACAAAAATCGTTTTTGGGCCGGTCAATCCACTCAAGGTTGCAGGGGTTTTCAAGGCTCGAGGCGAAGAATGGTGAAAAGAAACTTGTAGCAGACAGTGTAGGCCAGTGCTGCAGTCGTAGATCATTAGTTCTTGGCCGTGTCTGTCTTGGTCTCAAAACAAGCCCAACTCCATCATGCTCCGTGTCTCATGTTTGTCTTACAATTAGTGTCACATGGTGCCTTCCCCAAGGGATCAGCACTTCTACTTTGGCCGCCTGGGTGTTACTTCGGCTACACTCCCTGGAATCATCATGGAAGTGGAGTTCACCACCTGTTTGGTATTCGGCAAACGGTCATCCGAAATCGGGACTGCCATCCAGGTACCATGATAATTCGTGCACCTGACCTCTCGCCAACGGACGTGGCTTTTTCAAGGCCCAAAAACAATGCGAAGTCCCAACAGACTAGCTGTTGCTCCCAACGAACTCAGGCAGTTCCTTGGGAGGCTCGCTCTGGGGTTGTGTGTACCGGTTGTCTGCGATGGTTTTTTTCCAACCCGGATTGGGCCGTGCAACCTCACGATGATCCGCGCGCGATGCAAAGCCCGTCATCCAAACATATGCCAATTTGCGATAGTTTGGTAAGTAGGTAGTAAGGATCCCCATGTCAATGTGAGATGTTCAACCCCATCCAGTCGGCACCATCCACAGTCCGCTTCACCGGCACTCAGTTCGGACCCACCGGAAAAGCCGCTGGCCTCGGCCTCCGCCGGAAAACGAGCGCTTCGCGGAACCGCCGGAACGTCCGCATTGATCGGCATACGGTGCGCCTCTTCCCGGTGGTGCATCCGTGGGGAAAGCCACGCCGAGGCCGAGTTCTTCCCCTTGGCACCTGGGGTGGAAGCCGGTGACGGAGCGAGGGCTCCGGGCACCCAGTGACGGAGCGGAGTCAACGCACGAGAGGTGCATTTGGATGGACCTGGTGGACTGGATTGAGCAGGGCATTCGTACGTCGGTGTGGGTGGAGTTGTGGTAAAGCTGACAGCTGGCCGCCAAGGATGTGTAAATCAAGGGTCGGTATAAGGGAATCGTTCATAGTCCCTATAGGTGAGAGGATAATGAGCACCGCCTTTCTCCAAGTTCGGCACCCCGTTGAAAGTTGAAACTCCTAGCTGGTCCTGTCCTCATAAACCCATATACTCCAGGCCTCATCGGCTGTCCCCTGGTTCGCTTGTCGGAATTTCTCTAGAAACACTTGCATGCCAAGAGTTTTGCTAGGATCATCAGAGAAGAGTCATCATTATTTCATCATTTCCCAAAAACAATCCTGGTGGGGGAGTTGCGTCCAAGGTTGCTGGTGGAAAGTTAAAAATCATCTAAGCTAAGCTGATCCAAGAGAGTTACAGTACTCAACATCTTTCATCCAAGGATCTAAGATTGTTTGTTGTGTGCTGCAGTCCTCGCCCCGTTTCGACTGCACACTCACTTTGCGATTCCCCCTCCAGGGTCAGCGAAGGAGTTCGCCCAAAAGCCGAAGGTGAAAGCTTGTGACACCTGTCATTCCTGTCGTGCCCCGAAATGGTACCTTCCAACGGACCACTCGCCGCGCCGCGCCTTTGCCAGTTCCTTTCACCTGCTCCAGCTGAAAATAGGAGAGGGCCTCCGAAGATCGGACCGACAGCTCGCCCCGCTCGGTCCGAAGAAAAGGGCCATGTCCCTGGCTTCATGGTCCCGTCCCACCGGACGCCCCTCGGCGGGCACAGGCGGTCGCTGCGTACCCGTCCCACCTGCCGCAGCAACGGCAGCTTGGCCTTTCGGCAGGGATACCCTGCCGGCAGGGCCGTCGGCCTGGCGAAGGCCGACCGCAGACGACGGACGAGTTGTACGAGTTTCCGCCACACGTGTGGCGCCACACGTTGCCCCACCGCCCTAAGCCTGAAAAGGGATAGTTCATCAGCAATCCCATCCAAAGGTCCAAGCTTTCTTCGATCTTCACTTCGAGCCTGTCGCTCTCGTCGCGCGTACAACGGTCCGCCACGGTCCCCGCGTCGTCCGACGCCGTCCGCGCCCGAAGATCCGATGGAAGCGCAAGATCTGCAAGACGGAGGCGAAGGTCTCCGAATCCTGCACCGAAGAATTCGAGGCGCCGCGGTGGGACCATGTTCTGCACCAAAAGAAAAACGAAGCCTGCCTGAAAGAGGGGAAAACGATAGAAAACATGCGTGGTTGGAAGCATATCGAAGTGTTCACCCATTTTCCCCAGCCACATATTTTGGAACATATTGGAACAACCAATTGTTTCCAGGTGGGTGTGGAAGTGAGACATGGGAGAATCATGGAGACATTGGTAAGATCGGGTTGGTTTACGATTTACCCTTCATGTCCTTCTCCCCATTAAGGTGTTTGTAGTAGGACAGGGCTTTTCTGCTTAACATGGGGATGCGCAGGGGTCTCCTCGTTCTGATACACGCCCAAAATCACTTTGTATTGTTGGAACATCCTTTCCCACCCTTTCCCTACTAGATGCCAAGAAGCTTGAGTGTCTAGAACACTCACCAGAAATAGATACCACGCTCAGCCTGGCCCGGAGCCCTTTGCTCCGCAGGAAGAGCTGCTGATATGCAGGGACCACCTTCCTTCAGCATCACTGGAAGTATTGCATCATTATAAAACATGTTCTTTCAAGATGCCTGACCCACTTCGGTGTCAACGCTTCATAGCAGTGGGACGCTGAGGAGCCAAGGAAGCACCCACACCTGTGGAGAAAGCACCGCTTGAAAAGAAACAGGATTCTAGAAAACCTCCATCTGCATTGAGAAAATCAGAAACGATGGCCCCCAAACCCATTGGTGCAAAAATCCACAAATTGCTTTCAAGGACCGATTAGCCACCTGTGCAAAAAGACACACACACAGCCACACCGATCACCGTTACGACTCCGCCCAGCCTGATCAATCCGCACGGCCTGTCCCAGCTTCTCGCTATCCTGCACCGTCCAATCGCCACCTGATTGTCCCGAACCAGCGTTTTTCACCAAGCGCATTCTGGACACAAAGGAGCCATGTGACCGTGGGTCAAAGCGCAGTACCCTTCGGTTCACATCCCGAACAGGAATTCTGTTCATCGAGTGGTCACTCCTGGGGTCCCCTGGTGCCATGCACCGCCAGGACCCGATGGTTCAAGCAATTTGTGGCAACTCGTCTAGAACCCTCGGAACCCCACATGGTGTCACACCTGTCACATGTCGGTGTCTTTGGGTGTCACATGCTGGGGGCCCCATGGCCGCCCACCCATAAAACGTTCGATCAGGGTTGACCCCCATTTCATGGAGGAAATTAGGCTGAGGTATGGTGTCACCAATAGAAAGAAAACCTCTGGGTGTGTGAGAGGGCATTCTTTGCATGGCCGGTTTTTCAGATCAAAACCAGGACATGAAGACCTCCAAGTTGGGCTCGGTCACATCCCAGTTTCGGAGGAAAAAGGCCCGAGGACGTCATGGACCTCCCGGAACACGAGCTTCATTCCCTGAGAAGTCCTGTAGGGAAGAACCAGAGAAGGAAGTGTCCAGCTGCATGGTACCATACCCCTAGGTTGGTGACCCAGGGGAACCGTTTTCAACCGAGCCCAACTCTTTGCGACGCAAAGAGCGTGTTTGGGTTCTTCGGGACCCATCATGCACTTCTGAAGTCCAATAGACACCACGTATTGGTCTTCCATGTCCGTTCAGATGCATGTCAAATGTAGATCAATGCCCCCATCTTCCCCCGAGAAATCGGTCGAAAGTGCCATCTTCCCCGCAGACGGTTGGGACGCGATGGCGTTCATGGCGTTCCTGACTCCTCCCGACATGGCGGTTCCTGCCATTACGTGGATCCGATACGGCACCGAGAACATGTTTCCAACGAGAACCCCGAGAAAATAGAAGCAGGAAAAAAACCCACATGACAGTACAATACACGTGGAGTTAGAAACCAAGCCCGAGAAAGAAATCAGCAAAAACGATCATTTACACCAAGGTAGATCAATACTACAATACTACAAGTTAGAAAACAATAATACTACAAGGTGGAACATGTACACCGTCCTTTTCAATCGAAACCTATCCGAAACGAACGCGGAGCATCGTCATGTCACCAAACCAGCGCTCCAGCATCGAACCTTTGCCTCAGTCGTTCACGGATCCGCATTGGTTCGGTGGAAGACGGACAGAGCTGCCAAGGACGGTCTGGACTGTGCCAGCAAGTAGCAGAACTACGGTTGTAGCAGAAGCTGAAGATCCACCCCAAAAATAACTACCATAAACCATGTTTCTCTACAAAGCAATGTTGACAGGGGTGCAGGTGAACTCATGCTGCATGCGCACGTGTGGCTAAGTTGCATGTTCGGCTGGTAGGACGGGACCCGATGACTGCTGTGATATCCACTTCCCAAGCAACGTAGTGAAGAATAACTTCCCGAAATGTTGCCACACCACCCCATCACTACTACTCTTGTGTGGCACCGCACATGACATGAACATTGTCAGTTTCGCTTCAGATTGAACAACCCACAGACGTGGCAGTGGCTCAAGTGGCTCATGATGCCCACCTATCAGGATGACCCCATGCCTTCACAAAAGAGCGCAATCCGCCCGTTCACATCCATGTCAGATCCATACCGGCCGATCCCATGTCTTGCCTCTTTGGGTCATTCTTGGCAGCTTTTTGGTCAGAATTGATTCATTTGGGGCTGTTTGTTTGGGGTGTTTTGCTGGTGCGCATCTCTTTTCTGCCCCTCTCTACACCACCGTAGCGCCGCTTGTAGCGGCGGCCACACCATCCGGTCCATCAAAGAAGCCATGCGGCCATGCAGAAGCGTCGCCCGGCTCGTGGCCAAGACGCGGCCGGCAGCGTTGAAGTAGACCTCAACAAGGGATATGTAGACCCTCAACAGGGGCCTCCCAGGCATTGCTGAGAGAGGAGGAAAGGGGAAAAAGACCGGATCAGTACTCACCCAGAAAGGGGCAGGGAGGTCTCTCCGACCGGCCAGTCCTGAAGAGCCGGTCTGGTTCGTGTGGCTGGCTTGGAGCTCCCTTTGGTGGCATCCGGTGAGCTCCCGTGAGCGCCTGCTTAGATTAAGACTAAGATGTGTGAAGACATGTTGGGAGATATAGATGTACAATGAAGGGTTCCAAATCCAACAGCATAAAAAAGGTACCATATTCTGCCTGACATTCTGCCCGACTCAGACTTCAGAACCTGCTTTTGGGCCAGCATAACCAACCATCACCAAACCCATCACACCCTGGCAAAAACGGATTTCTCTTGCAAGTTCAACCCAACCATCTGCGAGACGAGGGCAACCATCTTGCAAGTTCACCTTTTTGGTACTCCCAAAATGGATAGTCCTCCCCACGTCTCATGGGTCTCCCATTTCTTTCAGCCCCCTGAATGGGCCTCCAGATGTCTCCAGTGTCAACGAACGAACACTGCAGAACTGCCGCTCTCTTCGAGCAGGTGGTCGCCCCGGTCGCTCCCCGGTCCACCGCCGTCGTCCTCAGGCTCCAACGATGTCCTCAGTGGCGAGGCAACGGTGACCCGTCGTCCCCAAGCACCGAGCACCGAGCACCACTCCGACGGTGGGCCCCTGAGCAACCAACGGTCGAAACCAGGTGCACCAGGTGAACCGACACTTAAGTCAAATGGCAACGAACGTCCCCTGAGCTGAGATGTTGCATTGAGAAAAGATCAGTAAAGTCGTTTGGTAGAAACATGTCCGGAATCTCGTCCTGTAGAATCCCTAAAAAGAGCAAGTCTCTGCATCTACCCACAGTTGCAACCCTGCACACCAGCAATATACAGTGGCACCTGATCTTGGCGGTAATTTTGATGGACAACGTCTTCCTGCACCGTCCAGGATGTTTTCAGAGTTCCAGCTGGATCTACTGATCTCGTCCTCCAGTGATCGGAAGACGAGATGCCCCTCCTTTCCCCGAAACATGCCGTTCATGATGCCTCTCGGTCTGCCCAACAATACAAAGGCCACAAAGTGGGCTCTTCGCATTGCTGCAGAAAAAAAAATAAACACATTCCATGGGACTGAATGGGATCGGTCGATCTTCCCCAACTGATTCGGTCGATCTTCCCCAACTGATGTCCGAGTTGAGTCGAGTGCCTTCTTTCAAAGATCAAAGATCTCGAGCAAGGAGAGGACAGTAGGGAAGTCTCTGCTGCTCAGAAGGGTACCCTCTCTTTAAAGAGATCTCAAAAACTCTAGTGCCAAGTCGTCTCCTTTAGAGTTTTCTATGGGGCGATTGCCGGAACGAAGTCTTAGAAACGAGTTTCCAGGGGAGCATTTCTACTCCAGTAAGAACCGTAGACGCCAAGTGTCTGGCGGCTGCTCGTCGACACGGCTTGCTCGACCACCCAGCAACTTCAGTCCTGGCCGCAGTCGCTTCGAAATGTGAGGAAAAAAAACAAAAAATTACCATAATAGATAATGAGATATAAAAAGGAAACAAAAAAAGAAAACATTCTATAAGGTGGTTGGTGGCTACTATCTACTACCTCTCTTACCCAAAAAGGAGATATCGACCACCTGGATCCACCTGGACCTTCGATCCATCAGGAGAGTACAGGGGGAGTCTAAGCGGCTCAATGGGTTGAAGAGTCAAGTGTTCCCTTTCCAATGGGGTCGAACTCAAAGGCCTTCCTATTCCCTGTTTCACTTGGAACCCTCCCCGAACAGGGTGTAGAGCATGCATGTCCATCCCATACCCCTATTCGTAGGTCATGGTAGCATTGTACATCGTTACAGGGGGGTGCCACCAGAACCGGACCATCTCTACAAATCACCGCCAGGAAAAGAGATCGAACAGAAAAAACAGGTCTGGATTCAAAAAAGGCATACATGAAAACTGGGACATATGAATACATATGATTCACATATGTTTGCACCACCTTTTGGCATCCAAACATGAGACCAGCTCTTTCCACCAGCTCTTCGCTCCTGTGCGCTCGGATTCCAAGCTTTCAAGCTCTTCCTGCCGATCTTCCGGGGGTTCGTCGTTCGCGAAACCGGACCAAGACGGTTCGTGACTGCCAATGGGTGTGGGTCGGTCACCTGGATCTCCCAAACCGTCTGCATATACCTGGGAATGTCCAGCCCAGCCAGAGGTGTGTGCCACTACAAGCAGAAACTCTCCGATGGATGACTTAAGGTCCCAAAAAGTCTGTGAAGAAGCTGTGATGCATGTCAAACCCTCCGAGCTTGAACTGGAGCACTACCAGTCACTACCAAGGAATAGGTGCATGACAAACCCAGAGTTCGTTTTGCTTTTTGCTCAAAAAGGGTGCTTTTATTTGGCCTATCCGTTGAGTCGATCGAATCAAAAGAAACATGGCTCGCTTCCCAACTTCAGATATCAATGCTGAGTTGACCAGCCAAGATTTCGGTGTTTTCCATGAGAGAGTCTGCTCAACAGAAGATACCGGCTCACGAAATAAACAAAGAGCCACCGTGATCCAAAAGTGCGAGGTGTTGGGAAATCCGACTGGGAAATCCACTTGTCAAAGGTGTTTCAATCCTCCAAGTCTCTACTTTCAGTCTGAACATCTCTAAACTGAAAAATTCAAGCTGAATCTTTAGATGCCCATATTATGTAGTCTGACCTGTTCCTGTGAAACTGCCGCCGTGTTGATGGACGCTTCCTGTCCCTGGACCAACCAGCAACTCTTTCTAGTCACAGCCCATTTGAGATGGAAGAATGGAATATAACGCAGCAGAACCGGTGCAGGAACAACATGCTTTTGTTTTCAGCATCAAAAAAAGACTTCGTTCGAAACATCCACTTCAGCAGGGAGTCCAAGCTGATTTCTATTGATTTCTGCCCCAACCAAAGGTTTTTCAGAGATGGGGTCCACCCACCGTCCTGCGCCGGTGGCCCACCGGGGCCCACGGAGTGTCCTGCGCTTGTGCCCGCCGTTGCCGGAGTTCAGCACCTTCGTCCTCCGGCCGTGGAGAAAGGGAGAAAGAAAGTTTAGTTATTGTTTCCACTAGCTTCTTGTTACTACTAGTAAGGCACCTGTTACTACTAGCGTGGTACTTGTTCCTAATAGCTTAGCAAGGTATCTACACACTGGCAATTTAACATGGAACCTGAAAACCACTGGGTTGTAGAGGAAAATAGTCTTCCAAAGGTCCATTTTCAGGTTCCAGGTTAATTGTCCCGGGTGTAATATATGGATGCTCTGGTCTCATTTCCAAGCACTTCGTCGTACCGATGGGAAAATCGCAAGGAGGCTCTCCTGCACCATGTTTGCAGAGTCTCAAGTAGTGAACCATGGAAAACAGGATGGATGGATGGAGCCTTGTTTTCTCCACCTCTGCTCACATGCTCACGTCTTGCTTTTGGGAGGGTGCGCTTTAGACTGCCTTTCTGGGAGTAGACATTGCTCCCAAAAGGAGCACAAAGGCTCCCTCTCAAAAGTGCGGACCAATCCACAAGTTTCATGTGAAAGTAGAGGAAGAGAAAGAACACAATGTGTTCAAGTGTTCAAGAGACAAAAGAAACGACTTGCTTTCTTCTCCATGTAGAACCTGAGAATTCGGGTCACCCCTGGGATCGCTTCGATCATCTCTGCCACTTCCCTTGCATCCGACACCGGAACGTCGTTTCCCTCCTGGATCGCACGAATGTGATCCGCCAGCAAGCAGGACAACCTCAACCGCCAGGGCCGGGCCCAACAGACTGCCAGTTTGGCGCCGCATTGTTCTTCGCCAACGCGGGTGGGATCCCGAATCGGTGTCGGCGCTACGTACAGGGTCTGATTGATCAAAGAACAACCTTTCGAACACAGGGAGACCATGGGAGACCGGTGAGTAGGCATTCGCCAGGCTGCAGAACCTGGCGCAGCCTGGAGGCATGTCCAGGGGGATGGGCTGGGCGACTGACCATTTCAGGCCATCGCTTGGCTTCATGACCCTCGCAGGGTGTTGGTGAATTCCCGCAATCCTCGTGTCCAGGAATTTCAGACACAGGCCACCCAACAGATCTAATAGACCCGCCTCGATGTCGATAAAAATAGGAATACTCATGAATACCCTAGTGATTGCTTAGATGCTCATGAATCTTGTGGTGTCAGGGTGTTTGAACTTTGAGCCAAAACTGGTCGGCTTCAACCCCTGCTGGTATCCTAGACCAACCCCCCAGCTGGAGGGTGTAGCAGGCGTACCTAAGAAAGTCCTCCCGTGATTCTCCAAGGAGCGGATCCATGTGCTGCTGAGCGGGCCTCAACCGATCTGTGCGATGTATGCTGTGGCCATCTTTCGGTCAACTTGCAGAGGCTACCAGGCTCGTACAAGCATGACTAGGGCTGAGGAGGAGCCTCCAAACGATCAGGTTTCAAGGCGTGGGTTGGACCGCAATCCGTCTTGGCCCATCAAAAAGCAGCTCGCAATGTGGTGCTTCATGCAGGACCTGTCAGGAGTGAGGGTCCTCATGCTTTTCTTTGGGGGTCAAGAGTCTCCTCAAATCAAAACGTCGGGCGCTTGAAGTCTGAGGCTCACTTTCCGACACGATGGTTGAACCTCATGCACCCGGTGAAGCCAGACCGGTGCGTTTGTTCCGAGATCTCAAGGGTCGTCGACTTCATGGAGCAAAAAGGATCTAAGAACTAAAGGCCAACCAAAGGTCAAGTACAAATACACGATGTAGCGGTAACGGCAGTAACTACGTAGTTCAAGTAACCAAAGTTCAAGTAGTAGTAGTAGTAGTAGTAGTAGTAGTTGTTGTTGTTGTTGTTGTTGTTGTTCAAGTAGTAGTAGTTCAAGTAGTAGTAGTTCAAGTAGTAGTAGT